CCAGCACTCTGGGAGGTCGAGGCAGGCAGATCATCTGAGGTCAGGAGTTTGAGACCAGCCTGACCAACATGGTGAAACCACATCTCTACTAAAAATACAAAAATTAGCCAGGCATGGTGGTGGGTGCCTATAATCCCAGCTACTTAGGAGGCTGAGGCAGTAGAATTGCTTGAACCTGGGAGGTGGAGATTTCAGTGAGACAAGATAATGCCATTGCACCACAGCCTGGATGACAAGAGCAAGACTCCATCTCAAAAGAAAGAAAGAAATATAAAGAAAGAAAGAAAGAAAGAAAGAAAGAAAGAAAGAAAGAAAGAAAGAAAGAAAGAAAATTCTAGAGACCTCTGCTGTGATTCACCTAGGGTGACCTGCCAAAGGCTGCAAATAGCATCCTTATTTTTCACTGACACCTCAAGATCCATTGGATCTGCTGGGTAATATGGCCCAAGTTGCAGAGCAGCTTGCACAGTAGCCTGGACCTGTTGCAGAGCCTTCTCCTTTTCTGGACCCCACTCAGAACTGGCAGCTTTTTTGGTCACTCAATAAATGGGCCAGAATAGCACACCCAAATGAGGAATACATTGCCTCCAAAACCCAAATAGACCCACTAGACATTGTGCCTCTTTCTTGGTTGTAGGACAAGCCAAATGCAACAACTTACCTTTTACCTTAGAAGGAATGTCTTGACAGGCCCTGGACTACTGGACCCTTAGAAATTTTACTGAGCTAGAAGGTCTCTAAATTTTAGTCAGACTTATTTTCCATCCTCTAGCATGCAAATGTCTCACGAATTAGTCTGGTGTGTTTGCTATTTCTTGCTCACTGTATTCAATCAACATAATGTCATTGATGCAATGGACCACTGTGATATTTGCAAAAGCAAAAAGCCATAGAGGTGTCTTTGAATAAGATTATGACACAAAGCCAAAGCGTTAATATATCACTCAGGTAGGACAGTAAAGGTGTATTGCTGGCCTTGCCAGCTGCAGGCAAATTGCTTTTGGTGGGCTATATGGACAGGAATGGAGAAAAAACATTTGCTAAGTCAATGTCTGCATACCAGGTACCACGAGATGTGTTAATTTGTGGGGAAAAGAAAGAAAGATCAGCCTGTTACTGTGTCTATGTAGAAAAAAGTAGACATAAGAGACTCCATTTTGTTCTGTATTTGAGATGCTGTTAATCTGTGACCCTAACCCCCAACCTTGTCCTTGCAAGAGACATGTGCTGCGGTGACTCAAGGTTTAATGGATTTTGGGCTGTGCAGGATGTGTCTTTGTTAAACAAGTGCCTGAAGGCAGCTTGCTGGTTAAAAGTCATCACCATTCTCTTAATTTCAACTACCCAGGGACACGTACACTGCCAAAGGTCGCAGGGACCTCTGCCTAGGAAAGCTAGGTATTGTCCAAGGTTTCTCCCCATGTGATAGACTGAAACAATGCTGCTAAAAGGTTTATGGAGATGTTTGCATATGCATCTCAAGGCACAGCATTTTCCTTTAAACTTATTCATGTCACAGAGGTTTTTGTTCATATGTCTTACTGCCGATTTCCTCCCTACAATGATCCTATTGTCCTGCCACTCCCTTATCTTTAAGATGGTAAAGATGGCCGGGTGCGGTGGCTCAAGCCTGTAATCCCAGCACTTTGGGAGGCCGAGACGGGCGGATCATGAGGTCAGGAGATCGAGACCATCCTGGTTAACATGGTGAAACCCCGTCTCTACTAAAAAATACAAAAAACTAGCCGGCTGAGGTGGTGGACGCCTGTAGTCCCAGCTACTCGGGAGGCGGAGGCAGGAGAATGGCGTGAATCCGGGAGGCGGAGCTTGCAGTGAGCTGAGATCCGGCCACTGCACTCCAGCCTGGGTGACAGAGCGAGACTCCGTCTCAAAAAAAAAAAAAAGAATCCCTGAGTTCATCATTTTCTATCATCACTTTGTCCACTGAACTTTGGACAACCAGCTTCATTATGTTCCTTGGTACTCCACATATGGTCAAACCTCCACCTGCTGGGTTTAAGCAATTCTCCGCCTCACCCTTCTGGGTAGCTGCGATTAGAGGAACCCGCCATCACGCCCGGCAGCTGTTGACTGCATTCACTCATGAGACTCAGGACCTCAACAGTGGTCTTTGTCCATGTGTTATAGTGACAATAGTAACTGCTGTCTGGGATTGCATACAAGAATAAAAATCTCATCTTTGTGCTGGACCACATTATATTTCACAATCTTACCTGTGGGAAAGGCTGAGAAATGAAAAATGAGAGTAACATCACCTGAATTCTTCACCTGGAATATGTCTCAATCTCCCCAATGGGCAAGGCCCAGGCTGGAGAATCAGATCACTTGCATGCAGGGCCGAGTGACATATTACATTTTCTCTAGGCACAGTCCAGGCAGGAGAGTGACAACATTTGAGTGCTGGGCTCAGAGATATGCCACAATCCCTTTTTTAGGCACGTCTCCTGCAACAGACAAGAGGCACATTATGTAGAAAATTGGTTCAGGGGTTTGTCACAATGTCCCCTTTGGGTGGTGCACAGGCAAGTGAGGAGAGTCGAATCACCCAGATAATGGAACTAGCAATATGTCACAATGTCCCCTGATGGAAGGGCAAAGACAAGAAAGTCACATAAGCTAGGTGAGAAAACTGACATATGTCACAATGCATGCTATAAGTAGGGATCATGGAAAAGAGGAGAGTCACATAACCTAGGGGCTATACCCAGGTATATGTAACAATCATTCCAGTGGGCAGGGCCTATGCATAAGGGGAGAGTCACATCACATAAATGCTGGGCCTAGCGATATGTCACAATCCCCACTGTGTACAGGTCCCAGAATAAAGTAAAGAGTCATATCATCTACATGTTGGGACCAAAGATATGTATCAATGACACCTGTGGGCAGGGACCAGGCAGAAGAGCCACAGCACCTGTGTGCTGGACCCTGTGATAAGTTACTATTTATCTGTTGGCATGGCTCCATCAGAAGAGGCAAATCCAACCACCTGGGTGCTGGACCCAGTGATATGTCACAATGTGTTCCATAGGTAAAGCCCAGGTAACAGAGGAGACTCACATCAAATAGTTGATGGGCACAGAGATATTTCACAATGCTCCCTGTGAACAGGGTGCAGGCAGGAGACTCACATCACCTTTGTCCTGGGCCACTATCTTTTGTGTGAGCAGAACATAGGAAAAAGAGAACCGCTGGCTGGGCACGGTGGCTCACACCTGTAATTACAGCATTTTGGGAGGCTGAGGAGGGTGGATTGCCTGAGATCATGAGTTCAAGATCAGCCTGACCAACAAGGTGAAGCCCCGTCTCTACTAAAAATACAAAATATATCAAGTGTGGTGGCAGGCACCTGTAGTCCCAGCCCCTCAGGAGGCTGAGATAGAAGAATTACTTGAACCCAGGAGCAGAGATTGCAGTGAGCCAAGATTGTGCCACTGCACTCCAGCCTGGGTGATGGAGTGAGACTCAATCTCAGAAAAAAAAAAAAAAAAAGAGAGAGAGCGAAGCATCACATCAGCTGAGTGCTGAGTGCTGAGTGCTGGGCCCAAATATTTCCCAATCCCCCTGTGAGCAGAATCCGTGCAGAAGAGAGTCAACATACATGGGTGATGGGCACAGAGATATTTCATAATGTCCCCTGTAAGAAAGGCACAGGCAGAAGTATAACATCCCTTGAGTGTTGGACAGTGCAATATGTCAAAATAGCCAATGTGGTCAGGGCACAGGCAGAAATCACATAACCTGGATGCAGGGCCTGACAGTGCATCACAATGCCCTCTATGGGCAGAGCCAAGGCAGGAGAATAGGTCACATCCGCTAAGTGCTTGGCCAAGTGATATGTCATAATCCCTACTGGGGGCTGGACCAAGGCTGGGAAGTCAAATCACTTAGATTCTGGGCAGAAGCATACATCAGAATCACACCAGCAGGAAGGTCCTGAAATGAAATTAACAATCCCACACATGTCCCAGTTTCAGGTATGAGAGTCAACACCTTTTTTACATTTGGTTTAAGTACCTGAGTCACAATTTCAACAATGGACTGGATTTGTGCACAAAAGACGCAATCCCTCCTGAAGACTGTGTCCCCTTATTGAAGCCACAGCCTCACAGCTCTGGGGAATCTTGGTCTGAGAGTAACCAACCCACCTGTGGATCAGATCCACATATAAGAGTTAATTCTTCAACCTCCCATTGCCTCTGGGTGGGAGATTCAGAGCCTCAACAGTGAGCTGTGTTCATGTGGAAGGATGACAATCTTTACTATTGGCCACCTGTGCATAAGAGTGTCACAATATTACCTGTGTGCTGGGCCCTGTGAGGACAGTCTCTCTGCCATTCAAGGGCTTTATATGCTATGCATGAGAGTCAGAATTTGCTCTGAGACCTCCATGCTGGTATGAACCCGTGATTGTACCCACAGCCCTAAAGCCCACGTATGAGAGTCAACATCTCTTTAATTGACTTTGTCGCTGGGCGCGGTGGCTCAAGCGTGTAATCCCAGCACTTTGGGAGGCCGAGGCAGGCGGATCACAAGGTCAGGAGATCGAGACCACAGTGAAACCCCGTCTCTACTAAAAATACAAAAAATTAGCCGGGCGGTGGCGGGCGCTGTAGTCCTAGCTACTCAGGAGGCTGAGGCAGGAGAATGGCGTGAACCCAGGAGGCGGAGCTTGCAGTGAGCCGAGATCGCGCCACTGCACTCCAGCCTGGGCAACAGCGTGAGACTCCGCTCAAAAAAAAAAAAAAAAAAAAAAATTGACTTTGTCCAGAGAGGAGATTCCTCAACTGCCTATGAAATGGTTTTAGAAATGAGTCACCATCTCAACTGTGGTCGGATGTGTACATATGACAGTCACAATTCCAACTGTAAACTGCATCCATGTATGAAGTTCAAGACCTCATCAGTACACTGTGTCATTGTGTGAATGCAATAATCCTTATAATTGGTGGGGTGTGCACACAAGATAAACAATCTCACCTGTGTGCTGGGCCCTGTGATGACACTCTCTGTATCACCTGAGGGCTTTATACAGCATGTGAGGGAGTGGAAATTCTCTATGACCTTCCTACAAAAAGGAGACCCAGGATCTTACCCATTTCTCTAAGCTTAGTTATAAGAGACAGTATCTCTCCTGGTGACTGGTATGAGAGTCACTATTGCACCTGTAAGCCAGGCCAAGATGTATGTTACAATCCCATTTGTCAGTAGACAGTGAGCAGGATGGTCACATCACCTGAGTGCTGGGAAAGGGTTATGTCACAATCATTTTTGAGGCCAGGAACCAGTGATAAAAGAAACATCACCTTAGTGCTAGGCCAAGGGATATGTTCCACTGTTTTCTGTGGGCAAGGTGCAGGCAAAACAAACTCATCGCCTTCTTGCTGGGCCCAGTGATACATCACAATTTTCCCTGTGGGCAAAGTGGAGGCTAAAAACGAGGGTCATATATCTTAGGTCATGAATACAGAGATACATCACAAGGCCTCCTGTGGGCAGGCCACAGGTAGAAATCACCAATTTCCTAGGTGTTGGAGCCCACAATATATCAAAATACACAATGTATGCAGGGCCCAGGCAGGAGAGAAGAGTCACATAACTTAGGTACTGAGCCTAGCAATACATCCCAGTTTCTTCTTGGACAGAACCCAAAAGATAGAAGAATCTTATTACCCAGCTGTTGGGTCTAGCTGTATGTCAAAATATTCCCTGAAGGGAGAGATCAGGGAGGAGTGTAACCTCACCTACGTGAGAAGCTCAGAGATGTTGCCGATTCTGTGTAACGTTCAGGAATAAGAGAAGAGTCAAGTATCCTAGAAACTAGGCTAGATTATATGTTACAATTACCCGAGTGGGCAGGACTCTCATGAGAAGATAGTCACATCATGTAGCTGATGAACTAAACAATGCATCACAATTCCCACTGTGTACTGGTCCCAGAAAGAAGAGGAGAGTCCCATCATCTAGGTGATAGGCCCAGAAATATGCCATATGCATCCTATGGGCAAGTAACAGGCAGATGTATCTCAGCATGTCTGTGGTAGGCCCGGTAGTAAGTTACTCTCCCTTCTATGGGCATGACCGAGGCAGAAGAAGTCACATCACCTAGGTGCTGGGCCCAGAGATATAGCATAATATCTTTTGTGGGAAAAGACCAGGTAAAAGAAGAGACTCACATCAAACAGTTGATGGGTCTAGAGATACGTTACAATCTGTCTGTGGGTAGGGTCTGGGCAGGAGACTCAGTCACTGTGGTCCTGGGCACAGCACTATGTAAAAATGCTTTATTTTGGAAGAGTCAAGACAGAAGAATATCACCTGTCTGTTAGCCCAGGGACATGCCACAATATCCCCTTGGTTTCAAACCAAACCTTGAAAGAAGAGTAGAGTAACGTCACCTAGGTGCTGGTCCCAATTATTTGTCAAAATTCTTCTTTTGAGCAGAAATTGGTAGAAGATGATTATCAAAACACAAAGTTGATTGGTGCATAGATATGTCATAAAAACCTTGTAGGCAGGGCCAGGCAAGAGAGTTACATCACCTGGGTATTGGACTCAGCAACATGGCAAAATGGCCCATATGGGCAGGGCACAGGCAGGGGAGTCACATAACCTGAATGTGGTGCCAAGTGATATGTGACAATGCCCCCTGTGGGCAACATGAAGACAGAAGAGACTCACGTTACCTGGGTGCAAGGCCAAGCAATAGGTCACATGCTACATTTTTGCAATGCTAAGGCAGGAGCATGAAGCTACATCACCTAATTGCTGGTTTCAGTGAAATTTTATAATTTCAGCTGTGGGCTGGGCCCAGGGAGTAGAGTTAAATCACTGAGGTGATGGGCAGAATCTAGGTCACAATCACACCTGCAGGAATGTCCAGGTATGAGATTAACAATCCCATATATGTCTAGGTTCTAAGTGTAAGATTCAATAGCTCATGTACGTTGGGACTAAGTAAAGGAGTCACAATCTAGATGGTCGAATAATCTGTCCATTAGACCCTTAATTCCTCGTGTGGACTGTATCTCCTTAGTGAAGTCATAGCCTCAGAGTTGTGTTGAATCTGAGAGTCACCAACCCACCTGCGAATGGGATCCAGGTATGATAGTCAATTTTCTAATTTTGACTACCTCCAAGTCTGAGATTCAGAAGCTCAATCATTGGCTGTTTTCATGAGACAGAATGACAGTCTTTACTGTTGACTGGGTGTGCATAGGAGTCTCACAATGTCACCCGTGTGCTAGGCTCTGTTGGAACACTTTCTGCACCACCTAAGGGCTTTATAGAGTGTGCATAAAAGTCACAGTCTGCTCTGAGGCCTTTCTGCTTGTATGTACACCTGTGATTGTATCTGTGACCCTAAGTTCAGGTGTGAGCATAGTTGGCAGGGTCAGATTAGAGAGTCCTCACTCTCTAGTCGGCAGGGTCTAGATTGGAGAGTCTTCACCTGCCTATGCACTGCATTTATTAATGAGTCACCACCTTAATTGTGGCCAAATGTTAATATATGACAGTAACAATTCCAACTTTGAACTGTGTCCACCTGTGAGATTCAGGAGCTCACTAGTTGTCTTTTGCCATGTGTGGGGGTGACAATCCTAAGAGTTGGCAGTTTCTGCATCTTAGAAACAATCTCACCTGTGTGCTAAACCCTGTGAAGACACTCTTTGTGCCACCCAAAAGGTTTACGAAACACACCAAAGATTGGTAAGACTTTTTTTTTTTTTTTGAGAAGGAGCCTCATCTCACGCTGTCACCCAGGCTGGAGGGCAATGGCATGGCCTTGGCTCACTGCAACCTCTGCCTCCTGGGTTCAAGTGATCCTCCCACCTCAGCCACTTGAGTAGCTGGGACTACAGGTACATGCCACCACACCCAGCTAATTTTTGTATTTTCGATGGAGACTGAGTTTCACTATGTTGGCCAGACTGGTCTCCAACTCCTAACCTCTTGATCCAACCACCTTGGCCTCCCAAGTGCTGGGAATACAGGCATGAGCCATCGCGCCCGGTGAGATTGGTAATTCTTTTTTTTTTTTTTTTTTTTGAGACGGAGTCTCGCTCTGTCTCCTGGCTGGAGTTGCAGTGCCGATCTCAGCCACTGCAAGCTCCACCTCCCGGGTTCACGCCATTCTCCTGCCTCAGCCTCCCGATAGCTGGACTACAGCACCGCCACCTCGCCCTGCAGTTTTTGTATTTTTAGTAAGACGGGTTCACCATGTTCACCAGGGTCTCGACCCTGACCTCGGTCCACCCGTCTCGCCCCCAAGTGCTGGATTACAGGCTTGAGCCACCGCCCCCGGCGGTAATTCTTTACGACATTCATACAAAGAGGGGGCCCAGGATCTTACTTGTTTCCCTAGGCTACAATACAAAAGACACTATCTCCCCTATTGGCTGATTCCAGGTATGGGAATCATCATAGCACCTATGAGTTGGGCCAGGATATTTGTCACAATCCCATCTATAAATAGAAAACGAGCAGAAGAGTCACATCACCTGGGTGCTGTATGAGGGATGTCATAATATTTCCTGGAAGCAGGGCACAGGCAGAAGAGTCACATAACCTGGTGGCTGAGCCCAGTGATATTTCACAATGCTCACTGTGGGAAAAGACCTGCCAGAAAAGACACATCACCTGGTTACTGGGTGCAGCGATATGTCACAATCTTCTCTATGTGCAGGCTGCAGGCAGAAAAAGAGTCACATCACTTTGGTGATACATGCAAACATATGTCACAAGGCCGCCTATGGGCAGGGCTTATTCAGTAACCTCTGATCCAATCCTATAGGTGTTGGGTCCAGTGACATGTCACAACACCAAAGATATGCATGGCTCAGCAAAACAAAAGATTTACATCATCTAGGTGCTGGATCCAGTGATATGTCACAATTCTCTTCTTTGGCATGGCTCAGGAAGAAGTAGAGAGTCAAATCACCTAGGTGTTGGACCAAGCCATATGTCACAATACACAGTAAATGCAGGGCTCATGAAAATACGAGAGTCAAATCTCTGAGGTGCTGGAAACAGTGGTACATCACAATTTCTCCTTTGTCAGAGCCACATCACCTAGGTGGCTGATCCAGTAATACGTCACATTTCCCTTGAGAGGTGAGCCCAGGCAAGAGAGTCACATCATTTAGGTAAGAACCCCACAGATGTGTCACTATTTTCCCTGTGAATAGGGCTCAGGGAGAAAAGGATAGTCACATCATTTAAATGACAGGCCCAGAGGTAGATTACAATGGCTCCTGGGTACAAAAACCAGGCAGAAGAATTATATCACCTGTGTGCTGGGCCCAGTGATAAGTCACTTTCCCTTGTGTGGGCATGGCTTCAGCAGGAGAGAAGAGTCACATCACCAAGATTCTGGTTCCAGAGATATGTCATAATCTCTCCAATTGACAAAGCATGGGTAGGAGAGGAGGGTCAAATGAAGCAGTTGATGGACCCAGAGATATGTCACAATGCCTCCCATAGGCAGAGTACAAGCAGGTACCTCCCAATTCTTTAGGTGTTGTGGTCAGGGACATGTCACAATACTTAAAAAATGCAGAACCCAGGAAATAAAACAGAGTCGCATCACCTAGGTGCTAGGTTCAGTGATATGTCACAATCCCTATTTCAAGAGGGCTCAGGGAAATAAAAAGAGTCACATAACCAAGGTGATAAATGTAAAGATATGTCATAATACTCCTGTGGGCAGAGTCCATTTAGCAGAGTCACATTACCTTGATGTTGGACCCAGCCATATATCACAATACACAGCATACCCAGGGCTCAAGCAGGGAAGAAAAATCACATGATCTAGTTGCTGCATTTGATGATATGTCACAATCACTTGTTTTTGCAGAGCCCAGACAGAAAAGAAGAGTCACATCTCCTAGTTGATGGATGCAGAGATAAGGCAAAAGGCTCCTTGTGGGCAGGACCCAGGCAGAAGGCTCTCACACCCTAGGTGTTTGTCTCAGACATATGTCACACTACCAAATATAAGCAGGGCTCAGGCAAACAAGGAGTTTAGTGATATGTTACAATCCCCACTCTTGGCAGGGACAGGACGCACACACACACAAGCAAAGGCACATCACCTAGGTGATTAAAAAAACAAACAAAAAGATATGTCATGATACCCCCTGTAGGCAGGGCCCATGCAGAAGAGTCTCATCACCTAGGTTTTAGACCCAGTTATTTGTCACAATACACAATTTATGCAAGACTCACACAAAAGAGGAAAGTCACATAATGTAGGTGCTGGGTTCAGTGATACATTATAATCTCTCCTTGGGTAGAGTCCAAGCAGTAGAAAAGAGTTACATTACCTGGGTACTTGGACCAGGAATTTGTCACAATACCTCCCGAGGAAAGAGTCCAGGAAGGGGAGTCACATCACCTAATTGAGGGGCTCAAAGATATATTTCCCAGAGCTCCTTGTGGGTAGAGCTGAGGATAATCAAAAGAGTCACACAACCTAGGGGCTGGGCTCAGCTATATGTCACAACTTCCCTAGGTGCAAGTCTCTGGTATGAGGAAGAGTCACATCACGTAGGTGCTGGGCCAAGCAATATGTTACAATCCCCACTGTAGGAAGGTCTCAGGAAAATAGAAGAGTCACATTATCTGGTTGATCAGCACAGGAACATATCACAATTACCCTAGACTGAAGTGTTACATCCCCTGTGTGTGAAGTCCAGTGATAAGCCACTCTTCCTTTTGTGCACAGGGTTTAAGCAGAAGATGAAAGTCACATCACCTAGCCGCTGGGCTTACAGAATTGTCTCAAGGCCTCCTATGGTCAAAGCCTATTTAAGAGACAAGAATTATATTAGCTGCTCTGCCTATGGAGCAGCCATTTTTTTGTTTGTTTGTTTCTTTACTTCTCTAATAAACTTGCTTTTGTTTTACTGCATGGACTCACCCTGACTTATTGGGGTCTGGGTCAAAAGCCCTTTTCAGTAACAGCTTTCTGGCAAACTATAAAGGGACCATACTGAGGAGAAAACTTAACTGAAGGAAATAAACTGCAGCACTAATTAGCCAACTTTGGGTAAGTAGTGGGGTACACTTTACCAGGGTAAAAAATGGGATTGGGTTACAGGCCCAACATGGAAGAGTTACAGTCTCTCCTAAGACATACTGGGTTAAAGATCTCTCTTAATAAAAAGTTTGAGGCCTAAGTTAGGAAGCTTCGAGTCCTTTCTAAGATTTAGGGTGTTGGCTGGGCATAGTGGTTCACATCTGTAATCCCAGCACTTTGGGAAGCCGAGGCAGGCAGATCACCTGAGGTCAGGAGTTCGAGACCCACCTGAACAACATGTAGAAACCCATCTCTACTAAAAATACAAAAACTAGCTAGGCGTGGTGACACATACCTGTAATCCTAGCTACTCGGGAGGCTGAGGTGGGAGAATCACTTGAACATGGGAAGCGGAGATCACTTAAATGCAGTTAACCAAGGTCGTGCCATTGCACTCCAGTCTGGGCAACAACAGGGAAACTCTGGCTCAAAAAAAAAAAAAAAAAAAAAAAAAAAAAAAATTTAGGCGGTTAGAGGCCCCTCTCAGTAATGTCACTCTTGGTTAAAAATAGATGAAGCAGGCCAGGCGCTGTGGCTCATGCCTGTAATCCCAGTTACTCAGGAGGCTGAGGCAGGAGAATGTCTTGAACCCGGGAGGCAGAGGTTGCAGTGAGCCAAGCTCGTGCCACTACACTCTGTAGATTAATTTTCCCTGTGCTCTTTGCTGACAGTTGTGCGTGACAGGCTTAGGCACGTACAGGATCATGAGACATGGGGAGCTTCTACTCTCAAAAGGGGAAACTTGAGAGCTAGTGAAATTGCTGGAAATTTCCTGAGAAATTTGCGACTGAGAAGTCGCCGCCTGAATTTCTCAGTGTCGCTGCAATGGGTGGGTCTTTCACTGGCACCCCTGAGAGCCTCCCTTTCCCCAACCTGCCTCAGGCAATGCTTTTCTTTCCTTCTATCCTCTTTCTTTCTTATCTTTTCGGTTATTCAGGGCAACTGTCCTTTGTTTTTTTGTTTGTTTTGAAATGGAGTTTCCCTGTTATTCCCCAGGCTGAAGTGCAATGGGGCAATCTTAGCTCACCACAACCTCCGCCTACCGGGTTCAAGCGATTCTCCTGACTTAGCCTCCCAAGTAGCTGGGACTACAGGAATTTGCCACCACGCCCGGCTAATTTTTTTTTTTTTTTTTTTTTTTTTTTTTTTTTTTTTTTTTTTTTTTTGAGGTGGAGTTTCACTCTTGTTGCCCAGGCTGCAGTGCAATGGCACGATCTCGGCTCACCGCAACCTCCGCCTCCCAGGTTCAAGCAATTCTCCTGCTTCAGCCTCCCTAGTAGCTGGGATTATAGGCATGTGCCACCAGGCCCAGCTAATTTTGTATTTTTAGTAGAGACGGGGTTTCTCCATGTTGGTCAGGCTGGTCTGGAACTCCCGACCTCAAGTGATCCACCCGCCTCGGCCTCCCAAAGTACTGGGATTACAGGCATGAGCCACTGCGCCCGGCGTAATTTTTGTATTTTTTAGTAAAGACAGGGTTTCACCATGTTAGCCAGGCTGGTCTCGAACTCCTGACCTCAAGTGATCTGCCCATCTTGGCCTCCCAAAGTGCTGGGATTACAGGCGTGAGCCATCGCACCCGGTCATGTGTGATATTTGTATATGAAAGAGTTCTGATTAATTGACTTAAGAATAATAAATGCTTGGCCCGGCGCGGTGGCTCACGCCTGTAATCCCAGCGCTTTGGGAGGCCGAGACGGGTGGATCACAAGGTCAGGAGATCGAGACCACGGTGAAACCCCGTCTCTACTAAAAATACAAAAAATTAGCCAGGCGCGGTTGTGGGTGCCTGTAGTCCCAGCTACTCGGGAGGCTGAGGCAGGAGAATGGCGTGAACCCGGGAGGCGGAGCTTGCAGTGAGCCGAGATCGTGCCACTGCACTCCAGCCTGGGCGACAGAGCGAGACTCCGTCTCAAAAAAAAAAAAAAAAAAAAAAAAAAAGAATAATAAATGCTTAAGTCTAACTTTTTTTCAGAAAAGGAACAAACGTAATGCCTTTTAGTTCATGTGACATAAGTAATCTTTGGGAAATAAAAGCAGTTTTACATGCAAGGTGTGTAAGAAAAGTAGAATGTGGCCTGGCACGGTGGCTCAAGCCTGTAATCCCAGCACTTTGGGAGGCCGAGACGGGCGAATCACGAGGTCAGGAGATTGAGACCATCCTGGCTAACACGGTGAAACCCCGTCACTACTAAAAATACAAGAAAATTAGCCGAGCGAGGTGGTGGGCTCCTGTAGTCCCAGCTACTCGGGAGGCTGAGGCAGGAGAATGGCGTGAACCCGGGGGTGCGGAGCTTGCAGTGAGTCGAGATCGCGCCACTGCACTCCAGCCTGGGGCACAGAGCAATACTCCGTCTCAAAAAAAAAAAAAAAAAAAAAGAAAAGTAGAATGTGCTTTTGGTAAATGATTATAAGATGGCATAAAAATGTTAATTTTTTTGGCCTAGTTTAGAGGACTGAAGAGTTGTTTTAAGTTAAGTTAGGATTGAGCTGAAGGTTTGAGCAAGTTGTGGAAGGTTTGTAAAAAATTAATCTTGTAAAAAAAATTCTGGGGCCGGGCACGGTGGCTCAAGCCTGTAATCCCAGCACTTTGGGAGGCCAAGATGTGTGGATCACGAGGTCAGGAGATCGAGACTATCCTGGCTAACATGGTGAAACCCCGTCTCCACTAAAAAATACAAAAAACTAGCCGGGCGAGGTGGCGGGCGCCTGTAGTCCCAGCTACTCGGGAGGCTGAGGCAGGAGAATGGCCTAAACCCGGGAGGCGGAGCTTGCAGTGAGCTGAGATCCGGCCACTGCACTCCAGCCTGGGTGACAGAGCGAGACTCCGTCTCAAAAAAAAAAAAAAAAAAAAAAAAAAAAAAAATTCTGTGTGTGAACATATTGGCTAAAGTTAAAGAGATATTATGCAGTTCTTTTTGTTGTTGTTTGAGACGGAGTTTCGTTCTTGTTTCCCAGGCTGGAGTGCAGTGGTGCAATCTCAGCTCACCACAACCTCCGCCTCCCAGGTTCAAGTAATTCTCCTGCCTCAGCCTCCCTAGTAGCTGGGATTACAGGCATGGGCCACCAAGCCGGGCTAATTTTGTATTTTTAGTAGCGATGGGGTTTCTCCATATTGGTCAGCCTGGTCTCGAACTCCCAACCTCACGTGATCCACCTGCCTCAGCCTCCCAAAGTGCTGGGCTTATAGGCCTGAGCCACCGCACCTGGCCTGTATTCAGTTTTTTTTTTTTTAAATAAATTAAACATTGGAATTTAAGTACAACAGGTGTTTTGTTTTGTTTTGTTTTTAAAGCACAGATCTGTTCCTTAACAAAAATTGTAGAGAGTTATTAAAAGTTTACGAGAATCTTGCCTTACGGTCAAACTGATTAAGATTGGATAAATCTGTATATAAGAAT